CCCGGTGAGACACGCACAGCACACACGCGAGGTTCTCCCCGGTGAGACACGCACAGTGCACACGCGAGGTTCTCCCTGGTGAGACACACACAGCACACACGCGAGGTTCTGCCCGGTGAGACACGTATGTCACACACGTGGTGCCCTACAGCAAGACATGCACACAACACAGACGTGAAGTTCTACACAGCAAGACATCAGACTTGCGTGAAGACAGACACACATGACATTCTACGCAGTGAAACATGCATGTTACAGACACGTGAAGCTCTGCGGTGAGTCACGTCGCACAGACACGCTTGGGCTTTGCTGGGGAAGTGTGGGTGGGGCCTGGGGCAGAGGTGGCCTCGCCTGCCACGTCAGCACTTTTTGTGTCCGTGCTTGGGGGGCTGGAATGACCCACGTGCAGCCTCGTGTGGCCAGCATCCTCAGCAAGGCTTGCCTGGCCCCAGGTGAGCCTCTGGTGGGGGTGTCACCACCTGGTTCTGGAGGATGTAACCCAGGTGCGGAGACGGACGATCTCCATCTCGAAGGTCCCAGATGTAACCGAGCTGTCCTGCCTCCAGGCGTCCCCTGCAGCGCTGGCCAAGTGCGTGCTGGCCGAGGTCCCGAAGCAGGTGGTGGAGTACTACAGCCACAGAGGTCTGGCCCCGAGAGGCCTGGACGTCCCTGCCGGAGAGGCCAGCCCAGGCTACACCCCGTGAAGACGTGGAGGGCATGGGGAGGGGCAGTGAGCAGTGGGTCCGTGGAGCCTCGGTCTCCAGCACCTTTGGGGTCTCTTAAGCGCCCTCCGACCTCCCAGAAGCCTCCAGTCCCCGCCAGGCCCCACTCCCAGTCCTCCTGGGATCCTGCTGGCTTGGGCCCGGGTCTGGGGCCCCCGAGGCCGAAGGGTGATAAAATACAGGCCTCCATGCCTGGCCCTGCCTGAGCCAGGTGGCTGGAGGGAGATCGTGAAGGATTTGGAGGGGCCTGGGAGCTCATCCAGGGGAGACCCTGCCCCGACGAGAAGGGGCACGGACTGGGGGCTCTGCTTTGCATCTAATCTTTGTGGGGGAGGGCCAGCAAGGCAGCACCCCAGCCCCCGAGAAAGCCCAGGGTGCCCAGACACCCTGTCCCCACAGTTAGCCTCCTTCTGTCCCTGCTCGTGCCCCCACCCCCACCCACCTTGTGTTTTTTGCCGTCCAGCCTCTGCACCCAGGTCCGTGGGGTCTGCGGGGTCTGGCTGGCCTGTGGGTTCTGCCGGGGGGGGCGTCAGGAGTAATAAAGTGTCACCCTACCCTTGTAGTTCTCTTGTGCCTTCAGTCCCTCCCCCAACCCCCCAGAGGGCTGGGCCCGGCCCCCGGAGTGCCCACATCTGAGGCAGGGGCTCTCCCAGACCCAGCCCACCAGGACTGAATGGGTCCAGGGAGGGATGCAGGGACGCACAGGCTGCCAGGGGCAGGGAGCGGGGACCACACCATGGCTGCCTCCACCCCTGAAGGAGTTCCACTCGGCTTCCTGGGACTCCCCAGGCCTCAAACCCACTCGGTGAGGACTGTGGACATGATGCAGGGGTGCCAGGAGCCTCCCACATGGCCTGCGCCACAGGGACCTGGGCTGGGGGCACTGAGTGAGGCCTCCGTGAGATGCTTATGGAGCCAGGACATCTCCCACCTGCTGAAACCTCCTCGCCCTGAATTTGAGATTTCCCCTGAATTATTTTGTCAGAGAAAAACAAATTGTCCCAATCCTGAATCCAGGCCCACCCATCCCCCTATGTATCCATCCACCCACCCATCCGTCCATCCCTCCATCCATCTCCCCACCCATCCGTCCATCCCTCCGTCCATCCCTCCATCCCTCCGTCCATCCTCTCTGGGGCCTATTTTTAGCTCTTGGTTCAGCATAGATATCGCCATGGTAACCTGGCCAGTCTGAATTTTGGAAGGATCAATGTTGGTCTCTTTGGGGATGGAGAGGCCCAGAGGTCACCCCTCCATCCACATCTGAAGGCTTCGGGCCCTGAGCGGGTCGGGGGGTCTCAGGGGCTGGGCAGAGGGTGAGTGTTGGTGCCCTGTGCCACCTGCGTGTGGTTTTTGTGCCAGAAAGTGTCAGTTTCTGGGCTGACTCAAAGCCAAGGGGTGTTGGTCAGTTGAGATCCTAGCAGGAAGCAGGTGGTGCCGAGGAGTTACCTCAGAACAGGGTTGGGGCAGCCCCAGTGGGGCCCCAGGGAGCTGCCCTTGGACAGGGATGGGCAGGTCACTTGGTGAGCTGGCGCCCTGAAGGGAGCGTCCCGTCCCGGAGCCATTGCCTTACAGGGATGTGGGCACGCCCAGCCCGCCTCCCACCCTCTCTTCTCCTGCCGTCCTCCCACGGTGAAAGGCAGCAGCCCTGGGGTCAGGCCAGTGGGCAGGCTGGGCCACCCTGGTCTCCGTGCTGCTGGGTATCTGGGGTGTGTGTGAGACTATCGAGGGGCAGCAGGGACAGGATGGCATCTGCCAGCTCTGTTGCCCAAGCTGGAGTGCAGTGGTGCAATCTTGGCTCACTGCAACCTCCGCCTCCCGGTTTCAAGCAATTCTCCTGTCTCTGCCTCCCGAGTAGCTGGAATTACAGGCACACACCACCATGCCCGGCTAATTTTTGCATTTTTAGTAGAGACGGGGTTTCACAATGTTGGCCAGGCTGGT